GATACTAAGTTATACTTCGAAGTATAATATAAATGTTGAATTATAGCGTGGATTGGATGAAACCTAACTGTAAACTAAGCTTAATGACCAACCCTTACGTCGGCCCGGAGGCTCGGGGGGCCGTCTGGGCAAGCGAGGCTGTGCGAGAGCGCGGATCTAAGCGTATCACTTCACCAAATGATCTACTAATTAGGATATGACCTAATATTAATGTTGGATGACGTTTGCATGCTGTTGGATGACGCAAGATACAGTACTACCAAGGTTTTAGAAATCCATACTAGTAGTCACTATTAGTAGTACATGACAGCATTAAATATAGATTCCATCCAACCTTTGGTAATTATTAGAATTACCGGTATGAATATGGATAAGCTTAAGTTAATAATGTATTCAAAAGGAGCGATTTTATCCGCGTCATCCACCACACCTTATATTAAGTATCTCACATACCATAATGATAGGTCATTGTATTAGGGTAATGCTAGGTCATTGTATTCAGGCCTCGTCCAGGAGTGGCACGGCCTACCTGCCGCTGCCCGACAAGAGGAATAGATAGATCATTCGGTAAAGTGACAATATAATTGCTGGGTTTCGATGAAAATTTATCTTAACAATGCCTTCTTCAACAAGGAATACATCGTCGCATTTTCCATAGTACTACCGGTATTAAAGTTTGTATTGGTATATGTACTGACATTTTGCGATTGACCAATCAAGGAGTACCTCGTCGAAATCCATTATACCGCGACTACAGTACACAAATACTCTACTGTACCGGTGGTATTAAGTCTAACGTTACGAGTACACTTTTCCACATGCTCGACTTCAATTTCTCATAGACATGGCTTGATGGATGTACCTTGGTCAATGATTTTTTTTACTGCTACCAAATGGAACACTCTGATGCGAAGTTTCCGATGGTATCGAATAAACCAATCACAGCGAGTACCGTAGCTAGCTAGTATGGGAATCCGATGCCTGGTCTTCACTCAATGGTTGACATTTCTGGCCAACTTCACTTCCGTTTTTGCTCTGCAATGGTCAAAGTCCTGATCTTCCTCAGCGCGTTGGCCACTGCCGCTACGGCTGGCTCCGTCACGGAACTCCCCGAGTCTGTGACCAAGCTCATCGACTATTCTGCAAACCCCTGCGACGACTTTTACCAATACGCG